AAATAAAAAAACGTCACAAACGTAACCATGTAACAATGAAAACGAAGCGACAGTAAAGAAATGTCATAAAACGTAACCATGTAACAATGGAAACGAGGGCTACAGTAACAAAGTCACAAACGTAACCATGTAACAATGAAAAAGAGTCTACAGTAAGGAAACGTCACAAGCGTATCCGCGTTACAGTGAAAACGAGGCATAATAGTAAGGAAACGTCACAAAACGTACTGCGTTACAGGAAAACGAGGCTACAGTAAGGAAACGTCAAAAACGTATCCGCGTTACAGTGAAAACGAAACAACAGTAAGGAAACGTCAACAAACGTATCCGCTATACAGTGAAAACGAGGCTACAGAAGGAAACGTCACAAACGTATCCGCGTTACAGTGAAAAACAAGGCAACAGTAAGGAAACGTCACAAACATATCTGCGTTACAGTGTAAACGAGGCAACAGTAAGGAAAAGTTACAAACGTATCTGCGTTACAGTTAAACGCAGGAAAAGAGACTATACTAACCCTATTATAATGAAAACGAGGCTACAATAGGAAATGTGACACTGAAAACCAGGCTGCAATAAGGAAAACTTTACAAAAGTGTTTCATGTAATGGTAAAACAAGGCAAATGTATCATTATAAAAATGATACTTCATTATGAAAACGCCACAAACGAAACCATGTTGAAGTAAAAATGAAGCTTCAATATCAAACCATTACAAAAGTATCCATGTAACAAAGAAAAAACGAGGAAGCTTTAACAAAGCGCAGTATAATATGAGAAATTGGACACAGTACTTCGGATATCAAAATATTGTTGTATCCCCTGTCGTATAACGGAGAGAGAACACACTGATGTTTCACATTTTATTTCTCAATACATAAGTATATATCTGCTCTGGACAAATACAAAATTTGAATTACCTATACTGGGCTATTCGACCACTACTTATAATGACAGCTTTTAACATAAAATGTTAAGATATAGTTCCCCCTTAGCATTAAACAAGCGGTTTGCCTCAGTTATGTCAAATAATATAACAAACATACATGTAATATCCAAATGTTTTTGTTGATGCATTATGTGAGAAAGACATCCTCAAAGAGAAAGTTTGATCTCACACCTGGTCCGTAGTTGAGAACCAAACCATCCCTTTATCAAAAACTGTTTCTATGCCATACAAAGTTTTTGCCATAGACGCGAAAATATAACTTTTGTTTGCTTACTAGGATATGTTTTCATGTGGTAAATGGTATAAACTTTAAATGTTTTAAACACTTACTTTTTGTTTCAGTTCCATCTGTTACTTCCTACCAAGTGCGACATTTAGGCGTTCAAGGGTTGCGACATTTAGCGGCAATCAATTTTTGTGCGACATATAGCGGCAACGTTGCGACAATAAGCGGTAGGCGATTGCGACATATAGCGTTGATTGCGACATATAGCGTCAGCGTTGCGACATTTAGCGTTAGTTGCGACATAAAGCGGCGTTGCGACATATAGCGTTGCTACATCATGAGCATTTTGTGAAAACTGGATGTTTTCATTGAAAAGTCTCCCGTTACAAGTTCAAATTGCTATAATACTATAAAAACTGCTTCAACACTTATCAAACTTGGCAGAAATGATGACTGGACCATTGCCCTTGAAACAACATGCTCAGGCTTAAATTTTCTGTTACCATGGCAACGAGGGGACATCTCAAAATTGCCAAAAATCACTATTTTGCGTTGATTTTTCCATCAAAATTGATTTCAAAGGGCTGCAACTTCTCAATGGATTGAGATAGAGTCAAATGCTTTTCAGCGTTGGTTACACGTTACCTTATGATAAATCTAGGGTCATTTATAGCCTCTCACAAGTGTAAAAACTTTATGGCGATGAAGGGGACTCCTCCCTTCACCCACCCCCCCCCAAACAGAAGTGAGCACATCCCCTTCTGGTATGTCCGGCAACCCTGATCTAATCTTTTAGCTGGGGGCCGCGCCGAAAAAGTGGTCACTTTTTTGAACAACATTTCTCAAACAAAAACAAGTGTTTTGGCCTAAATAAGGCATTTTCACCATTAGAGACAACAAAAAAAGGGGCGAAAAGGGCGTTAAAAGGTGTGTATATCGCGTAATGGGTTAATAAAACAGATAAGACTGCCATTATTTTAAAGTTCTGGTATATTGTGTCATGACACCATTTATTTTGATATAAATAGATGAAAAGTGATAGTACATGCACTTTAATTGTCTTGAAAGGGGCAACACGGGGTTTTGACCATCTTTGACGCTTGTTGTCATTTGTAGTTTCTTGTTTCAGCTAGCCTACTTGTTTTCGGTTAAAGTATTAAGTTGGGCATATTTTCAGTAGGATGTAATATTAAACTTTAAAGACAGCGCCTTAATTTAGGTTGATATGGTGAACAAATATCAGACTTTGCTTAACCTTAATCTTTTATATATGGCAATGTTTCTGCATACAGTTATAACCTCCATATTTTGTTAAAACATCAAAAGGAGAAGGTCATTATAAATGATTATAACACATATTTTGTAATATGTTTTTATTATTCTATTATTGAAATTCGGGGTTGCGTTTTGACAAGTTTCAAAATTTTTAAAGTTTTTATTCAACATTCCATTAATCTAAAAGCCCATGAGATATACAGTGTTTTAAATACATAGTTTAAATGCCATTACATAACCATCAATAAGTCCTTATTAAAGTTGACATAAAGGGTTGAGTTATCCAGTTCGTTACTTAATAAAACCGTTCCAAAGAAAATGTAAAGATGAAAACTTATTCACATCTCACCCTTATTATACAAATCATGTCTTTTCATAAGCTTTTATTCAGACTGTAATTCAATCATTAAACATTATTCTGTAGTCAGGAATCAATTTTTCTGATAAGTACTACTGGCTTCTGTATATTTTGTTGATCATTCCGTCATCTTTTTAACAGGAAAGATGATTTTGGCTAACCTCGTGTTACAAAACTTAAAACAACACCAGGGGTCAAAACCGCCTCATCTGTAGCTAATTTATAAAAGATGCATTTATAAACTCATGTAAAATAAACCCATTTAGACGGTGGCTGCAGTTCTGATGAAGCAACCCCTCAGCCACAAGGGGATTATTGAACAGGTAATTATTTCCCCAAGTGATCACAGAGAAAAGAATCGAAGAGCATATAATTGGCAAAGACTGGTGACACTGCTTAACGGCCCGTTATTCCTCAGATATGCTTTTATTTTTATTTCTCAAAAAACTTTTTATTTTTGGTGTCCTATTAAATTTTTCCAAAAAATAACTAATCGGTAATACCCTGCATCATTTCTTTTGTGCTTCTGTTCTTTTTTTTTACATTCATAAATTGCATTGATCTGATATATTGTATGGAAGACAGATTACTACTTAGTTTTTCATTTTGCTACTTTAATGACAACCTAAATTATGTTCATCACTTCTTTTTTCCATGTGATAAGCATGTAACATGCTCTAAAACCAATGATTTGAACATTATAAAACTCGTGACTGGCCTTTCTAAAGAAAGGAGAATTTATTTGTTTCTGAGGCATAATGTGCCTTTACTGATGGTGGTATTGACACTTAATGATTTTTCTTCATTACAGCAAGATGACAAAAGGCACAAAGAAATTGTTAAGCTTAAAGGAAAAAATAAGAATAATTTTGATAGTAAACAGAAATTGCGTGTGTTTAGCAGATGTTAGTAACATAAATTGCGTGTATTTTCAAGATATACTAGCATTAATTTGTTCTCATTATAAAATGCGTATTTTCATCTCATCGGCTTACCAGCTTTTCGATAATATTTGTTTGAGGCATATAACGTCAAATTAATGATAATTATCTATTAAGCATTATAATTAAGAGAAATATTGCGACGTCATAATGGCGATAATAACGGTTCTATGTGTGGCGGGCTCCAAAAAGAATAACATCACGCTATAGATACAACTTTGTCTTGTAATGAGGCCAATAACCCCATTATCTAAAGTAAAATGACTTTTCATATCAAATTTTATATAAAACCTTTTCATATTGGATTCCTTGTGCGATATCACATTTTAAATTACGAAGTTAAGGTTTGCTGACAATTTTGATTGAAATACAAGATAATATTAAATTTGAAGTCTGTAATACCTCAGTCGAAATTCCGAATATTAAATGTTCTGTTAATGGTGGAATTATTTCTGATTTGAAATAACCTATTTTTCCTTCGTTCGGTGGAATTATTTCTGATCTGAAATAACCTAGTTTTCCTTCGTTCGTGTGGAATTATTTCTGATTTGAAATAACCTATTTTTCCTTCGTTCCTTGATATAACACTTTAAAACCGCTCTGGTATCACTGATGTTTATTGCAATGCCATTCTAAGTTAGTTCTAGTAGAAATAACGTTTATTCCAGAACGTGTCAGTATAAATTAATAAAGGGCTACATAATTATACAAAATCTTAAGCGCCAAGCTCTAATGATTAGACTTATTATCTCTCGTAACACATTAGTTATCTACGTGATATGTCATCAACGTAATTATATCAAGTCGATTGCATTTACAGCTGCCAGCATCTGTCCCTTCAAAGAATTACAAAGATATAAAAGCCCAAAGGTTTACGTTCACCTCGTCTACATCTCTGGTGACAACACATCTCGATTTCAGCATCAAAAGCAACAACAACAATGAACAACAAAATGATGTTTGTTTTTCTCCTCATTGGAATACTGGCTGTGTCGACTATTCAGGTGGCAGGTAAGTCCTTTTTCTAACGTTAACATGTCAAAATATAACTGACGTTACTCGTACGAGCATTTTTGTATATGAAATGAAATGTTTCTGTTAAAAATTGGAAGCATGCCTTTGAGATTTCTTAATCGTTAAAATACTATTATACCGATTGATATGTTACAAACTTGTTTAGTATGTAATATGATTTATCACATACCCTTGCCGCTTTTACGTATTCTTTAAACAATATGGCAATTAATACTCAACATCACTAATTCCGCGTCATCACTTATTTCACGGTAATGGCATATTTTCATGTGACTAGTGTTGAAATTGATTTTGTGCAAAATATTTTAAATGTCTAGATTTTTGTGTAAAGCAGAACAACATTTTACAAATTTCTGCAAATAGCAACGATAGTCCATTAAATTTGTGCATACGTCTGAAACATTCATCATTTTCTAAATATTCTTATTTGTTAAAAATATAAATTTTGAGTTACAAAGTAAAAATAGTTTTAATATGGAATTCAAGCAAAATAACAAGAAGAAATTATAACTGAAACTGAAAAAAGTGAAGTGTAACACCATTTACCGCGATTTAAATGAAGATATACTGTTTTCAAAATGGCCGACATATGGTCTACGCCTGGCCCATTAAAACTGATTTTTACTGAATATATTGTTGTTTTCTTTTGTCATACAGCAGAAAATACCTATAGGTTACAGCTAATGATACTTTTTGTACCATAAGTTTCATTTGTTGTTTTCTTCCTAGTTTCAAATCGTTAGGTACCGTGAACTGATAGGAGCACAATATAGTGAAAGAAATGAAGGAATTTAAAACAGGAATTCATACCGTACTAATATATTATAGAGCTTCTTAAGACAACAATTATCATAGCTATATACAAATGGTCTACGTAATTATATGATCGTTAAACCGCCAATCAGCGATCACAATTGTTTCTATACATGTATTGTATATTTATCTATCCCTCAAATGGGAGAAACAATCATATTAGATCTGTATACATGTATATATATTTTTTTCTTTTAAAGACTAGTCATTTTTACCGATATTCATTAAAAATTGTTTGATCAGCACATATGTACCATTATAATTTTGATTAAAAATTGAAGACAATACAAAACCAAAATCCACATCTCTATAATTATTTAATTAAATCAAACGAAATCTCTATCTGATCGATAAGAAATTGAACATTTAAATGTATTAAATTACCACTTTATTATCATATAACCAATTAATTATCCTCTTAACACATAAGTCTAACCCATCTTTGATAAATCTCTGTTTTTAACGACATCTCCCTTTATTTAATCATTCTCTGCCGGAAATACTGAAATAATGGCAATAAATTTATTTATTCAGTATGATAAGTATTGTAACATGTTCAATAAGTTGATCAATATTTTGTTGTTTGCAGTCCAATGATATTATTATCCTATATTTTCAGATGCTGTGACATATAGCTGTTACAATGAGGGTGTCGGTTGCCCAATCCCTGGCGAGGGATCAGTTAGCAGTAGTCTGTGTAATGACGCCTGCTCCGGCGACTTTATGTGCTGCCAAGATGCCTAGGTAATATATCTTTAATATAAAATAAAGCACATAAAAATCACTCATCGAGTAGTAATCTAAACAAAATAGATAATACGTGTAGTAATTTAAACAAAAGAGAGAATACGTGTAGTCATTTAAACAAAAGAGAGAATACGTGTAGTCATTTAAACAAAATAGGAAATGCGTGTAGTATTTTAAACAAAAGAGTGAATACGTGTAGTGTAAACAAAAGAGGGAATATGTGTAATAATTAAAACAAAAGTGTAGTAATTTAAACAAAAGAGAGAATACGTGTATTAAATGAAACAAAAGAGAGAATACGTGTAGTAATTTAAACAAAATAGAGAATACGTGTAGTAATTTAAACAAAATAGAGTATACGTGTAATAATTTAAACAAAAGAGAGTATACGTGTAGTAATTTAAACATGTGGTAATTTAAACAAAATAGAGAATACGTGTAGTAATTTAAACAAAATAGAGTATACGTGTAATAATTTAAACAAAAGAGAGTATACGTGTAGTAATTTAAACAAAAGAGAGAATACATGTTGTAATTTAAACAAAAGAGAGAATACGTGTAGTAATTTAAACAAAAGAGACAGCAGTTGTAGTAATTTAAACAAAAGAGAGAATACGTGTAGTAATTTAAACAAAAGAGAGAATACGTGTAGTAATTTAAACAAAAGAGAGAATACGTGTAGTAATTTAAACAAAAGAGACAGCAGTTGTAGTAATTTAAACAAAAGAGAGAATAGGCGTTTTTATTTAAACAAAAGAGAGAATACGTGTAGTAAATCAAATAAAATAGAAAATACGTGTAGTATTAAAAACAAAAGAGAGAATACATGTAGGAATTAAAACATATGCGAGAATGCGTAATAGTTCTAACTTATGCATATTTAGTACATTTACATTATAGATATTGACGCTTTACTGTCGTATTGCTAACAAAATTCAAGAGAGTATATTATTATTTTTCGTGTTCCCGTATATGTTTAGCGAACTTCAGATAATCATATTAAGAAATATTTTAAGATATAAAAATATAATTATGCTGCATTTGAAAAAAAAACTTTATATAAATATACTAATTTATTTAAATGTACAATGATATTGTTCTTATAAAATGCAGTTTTGATGGAAATCTTATTTCTGTTTCAGGATTGTCAAATAATGAACCTCACAGCAGTAAATATTGAAAGTTGAAATAATTTATGTAATCAGAAGATGAAATTGCATTCCTGAAATAAAAATAAAAATATACGCAAATTATATTTTCGTATTAAATTTTTCATTCATTTCTTGGACGAGCCAACATGTTAATCTGGTATCTAACCTATTATTACTTTGATTTTATATGATCTTCATGAAAATCGAAAATGAGTGAGACCCACTGGTACATATACTGATTACGATGAACTATATTTATCAAATGCTAATATTACGACTTTGCCTTTAATCTTGAAATATAACTTGTTTTCCAAGTACTTTAAAAAAAACGTCACAGCGACAGCTACAAGATGGTTTTGTTTGTAAAGTATGTGTACCCAAACATACCAATACATTTTAAACATCTCATACAAAATTGCAAAATGTTACAAAGGCACAAGTGTATATATAATTTTAATATATATATTTAATTAAAAAGTATGATTAAATATGCACTAACATTATAATGAGAATGACTCACTATTATTGTCAGTTGGTATTGTTTTGATTTTTTTTTTAGTTTTCATCAATATACATTATTTCAATTAACATTATCTTGTTAAAACAATCAAAAGCCCCTGAATGTGATACATCGACTAGTATAAAAGTCAATATTTGAGCCGTGTCACGACAAAACCAACACAATGGGTTTGCGACCAGCATGGATCCAGACAAGCCTGCGCATTCGCGCAGTCTGATCAGGATCCATGCTTACCAACCCTTTTGTAAGTAGAGAAACTGATAGCGAACAGCATGGATCCTGATCAGACTGCGCGGATGCGCAGACTGGTCTGGATCCATGCTGGTCGCAAACCCACTATGTTGGTTTTGTCGTGACACGGCTCATTTATGTTTAATCGTCACTAAACGTTAAACCGGAGCCTTCAATTTCATCTAAAAGTTTATCGATTTTCTTTGCAGTCTCTGGCGTCAACAATTGTTTCCATGTGCCTGCTTTGCCTGTAAAATATTGAAGTTATTGAAATTTGAGTAAATCGTCTAAACTCTTAGATTGACATTATCATAGAAGAAATTTATGTACAAAAGTAAAAAATATTACAAGGGTCTATTGACATTAGATGCATTATATCATTTGGTGACCCTTGTGGCTGAGACAAAAGAATTAAAACCTACGTTGAACTTGCAAGAGTTTAAATAACTAGAGTCTACGCATTTCCAGCAGGTGTGTCGGTTTTGATCCCTGGTGTTTCTTTGAAGTTTGTAACACCCAAAATTTTCAAATATCATTTTCTGTTTCGGCGCATATCACCTATACTGATTTGGTGCAACGTAAAACAAAACAAACTAACAATAAGTTGTTGGTGTTTTGAAAACAATAGGTCAAGGATAACAGGTGTACATGTGTGAATATTGAGAGGATTTTTTTAAATTTAATTACCTTGATTTATAAAACTACCGTCAGAGTTATCATATACTTTCTTATATTTTCTCCAATAAGACAAATTACACATCGGGTTGTTCTTCATGTTTTCTACAGAGCAATGATCACATATGTTTGCCACATCTTCATCTGTCAACTTTCTACCAAGAAAATCAGCAATCTGTCTTACAGCTTTGGGTTTATCCTATAATTCAAAAAGAAACTTTACAATAACTGATAGTAATAATCATAATAAACTATTTAAAAAATCTTGAACATTGATGAACCGCAACCATTTGAGTTACGACTATTTAGAAAGCGCTCCATACCCTCCCAGAACTTTTACCAAGCCTCAAAGCAAATGCCCCTAAAACACTCAGTGAATCAGATTGCATCCGAAAGATTTCCTTTTCAGTTATCATTGTTCAAGATTAGATGAAGGTGCAAACACCTACCTGAACAGTCTACGATTGTTTGGCAAAAATAATAATAATAAATGACAAGTTGTGTCCATCCAGCAAATAGTAGGGAGTGAATGCCCTCAACATTTGTTGATTCCAGGTCCTCCTCTGCTACCATCACTGTTTTCCTAACAGGAGAAGGAAGCTATGTTAGAGTTTATGCGGCAGACTTCTTTACTCTGAGACATAAGATCACGCCGAACAGATAAAAACAGCTAAGAGCTCCGAGAAAGTGGCAATTTATTCAAAACTCCATTTTTTCACTATCCAAGAGCAACGACCCCGTTTACTTGTGTCATCTTGTGTATAAAAATGTTGTTTTAAGACATTAAGGGTAAGTTAAGACAATATACGACGACGACGGCAAACATTCGACTACAACTCTATGCATTTTGTTCCCAATTGAAACCTGTGAAATTAAATTACATGTTGTTAGTATATATTCAAAAGACATTGCCCGTTTGTCTTCGGTTTGTCGATCCGTAGCCCAAATTGTTTCCGTGTGATAACTATAGAACGCTTAGGCCTGGGAACTTCAAACTTGGTATGACTAGCAGACCCCTATTTATTGTGGGGCCAATGGGTCAAAGGTGACATTGCAGGTATAAACGGTTTCTGATTAATAAATAGGAACTTCAAACTTGGTATAATGATTGTCCATGACCAGTCGATGACCCCTATTGATTTTGGGGCAAAGGGGTCAAATATCAAGGTCACATTGAAAGGTAAAAAGTTAATGGGAAAAAAAGGTTTCAGGTCAATACTTAAGAATGCTTAGGCCTAGGAACTTCAAACTTGGTATCATGATGATTGTTCATGACCGGCAAAAGTTTTCTATCAATAACTGGACAGTTCATTAAACATTGACCTTCAAGCTTTACAGATTCATTGCTTTAGGCGTGAAGATGACCTCTGAGGATAACACATTGACCCTTTACATTCAAACTTCACAGTTGCATTGGTCTTGGCCAGTAGTTAACTCCTATTGATTTAAGGGTCAAAGGTCAATGTCATATTGACCTTGTATGTAAAGGATTGACAAATAACTCAACAACTCAAGTTGCCTTGGTTGATACTTTTATAAAACTAAAAATCCTTTTGGTATACACATTTCAAGGTTTTATGTAATATAACATCTTGGCTGTCGTTAATGAGGCCTACATGATTCTTAAACCTTGTGACTAGTCATGACCAGTAGATAACCCGTATTGATTTTTTGGTCACTAGGTCGAAAATCAGTCATAATAACCTGATCAAATGACCAATTGGCTGCTGATTGGGGGCATACATGTTTTACAAACATATCTTGTTTATTCACTATTTTCTTTTTACTTAAAATATCCTGCAAAGTAATTATATAATCATGCTATAAAATAATATTTTGGCCTCACATATATGAATCAAAATAATTACTTTGATTTCATTACTTTAATTATGATCTGAAATGTGATAATTTCGTAGACTTATTTTTTTTATCAGTAACAGAATTTGAACTGTTTTATTTTGCATGTTATTGATTATATAAAAATAAAAAGCTAATTACCCGCACCACTTCCTCGTACTTCAGAAACAGAACATTTTTATCATTTCGTCTCTCCCAAAACTCTAAAACATGTCGAGGCCATGGACAATTGTGACCTGAATATATAAAACGATATTGTACAGGATGTTCATACAGAAAATAACATGGAATGATGATAATACTTATTGAATAAAACTAAAGATCAAGAACAAGGGTGGTCGATCGGAAGCACTTACTAGAACAAACTAACATAAAAATTGCAGACTTGGTTTGATTTTGTCTGAGTGATAATGTAAAAATGTAACATTCCTCATGCCCCCTAGCACCGGCTTGAGCAGTATCCAATTTTCAACACTTAAAAGTGCCGGGACCAATGATTCCAAAAAATCAGAAAAACTAAACCTTGTAATTTTGCAATTTGATGGGAACCAAATATCGTTGTAACATATAACACTTTGTATTAAGCATACTCGCAATATCAAAAATTATTGACATGTCTTCACCTAGGATCATAGAGTTGTCTGGTGTACATGTAATTGGCATGCTTTGACACTTGTTATCAAATTTTCATGCTTTAGACTGTCAAAATGCGGAATCAAAAGGCCTTGAGCATTTTTTCTGTCACGTATAAGCCTTAGCTAGTGACATCGGTACTTGCGCTATAAAGTTCATTTTCAATATTTTGAAGTGAAACTTACCAGTTCCATTGATAAATGAGTCTACAAAGTTGTCAAACGTGTATCCATTGCGGTCAAAACCACCCATCCATTGTATCAGTCTAAAGAATGAAGTTGCAATATCTTTGGGATTTCTTGCAATGTAAATAATCTGCAATGTAAATAATCTGCAATGTAAATAATCTGCAATATATAATCGTCCATTTACGTATTATGTTTACACAGTAATGTGTAATATAGAAAAAGGCGGAATTCCTAGAGAGAACGATCAAAACGACAAAATTGCAGGTTCATGTTCATGGACGGTAATGGAAACTGCAAGTAACCGTCAAAGCCCCCTTGCACTGGCTTAAGTAGAATCCAACATGAAAATGGTGGAATTTGGACTTTGCAAACATCAGATGTGCACATCAAATGCCGGTTATGAAATTTTGATATATTACAACAAATGTGATATACCGTTAAGCAACAGAACGGCAAGCATGTAACATTTATATTTTTATAAGAAAATATATTCTGTTTTACAACATTGGTTTACCTATCTGAATCATTCACTTTGGAAAGGAATGTCTAATTCTCTGTTCGTATTAAACGGGAAAGATTGGTAAATGAAATGTGTAAATATGACAATTATAAATAACCAGTTCTTTTTTAATTTCTACTTACAATAATAAACAAATAAATAAAACAACTTTTCACTAATTGCTTTCTTTGAATACGCCAACGAGAAGGACGTATTTCATACATAACTGTCAAAAACTTTATAGGCTGCGTTCTGTGATTATTGCTTTTCTTAAGTGATCTTTGGTCTCATTCATTTGATTGCTTTTGAATATTATAAAAAAAGATGTTTGTATATAAATTTATTTTCTAAGTGATGAATGACGTGATGGTCATATCATTTGCTAGATCTAGCAGGTTTTCATAAGCTTGAATATCAATATGTGTGTGTGACTTTGATACGGTTTGCATTCTCACGAATACATGCAATTAAAACTTAAATATCCATAAAAATGTCCATGTGACCATTTGACATTACATACCCGGCCTTTTCCTTTCTGTAACTGAATAGGCAACAAGAAGTGGTGAAGATGTGATTTTATCATACGGGGTGACCTCATTTGGTCAATGTATTTTACACCTAGAAACAGATAAAGACACAATTATTATAATGTGCATTAAATGATGTCTTAAAGTTGAAGTTACCAAGTAACGTTATTTGATGATGTTCAATGTTGGATACAACAATGATTAAACTAATTTAATAAGTTTAGAAGTGTTAGAATGAAATAAATACATTATCATCACTTAAGCTATTGTGAGTAACGCTTACATATTAAATTATTGATATACAAGGATATACATAAATTATATAATTAAATCATCATACAAAGTTGAGTAAAACGGTGTTCAAATATATGACTTTGATATAGGTATTTACATGTTTGTATAAGTTTTTAATTCACATACAATGTATGTGTAGAAGCCTCCTCTAAAAGGAAAACGAGAGAAAAAAAACAAAACACACACAAAAAAAAAAACACCACACACATGCTAATTTGTTATATGTTTTTCATGGAATATTCATAGTTACGGATGTATATGGCTGTAGCACATGTAATGTTTTTCATAACACACGTTTTGAAGGTGTCTTTTGAATTTAATGTATTTTTTTGACATTGCCATTACTGTTAAAGGTAGATTGTTTACTACAGTATTTGACTAAATTATGAATAGATTTATCTCAATTATTATTCAGCACTAAAATCAAGGTGCATTAGATAAAATAATATTTCAGATAAATATTATAACATCCTTAAAAAAGAATAATGTATGTGATTTGTTCAATTTTATCCATCGGGTACCTCTATAAAACGGGAACCTGTCGTCATTTAATTCCAGGTATGGGAAACGGTCGTCAAGATAAACCGTGAGAGCCGTCTGAAAGTCCAAGGTTTGTACTAGATACGTCATCTCCTGCGTCATAGTTGTCCCTTTGAGATATGAAAAATATGACAAATGCTTAGACACGTCGCGTTGGTGTGTTTGTATTTAAATAAGTAAATAAATAAATAAGTAAAAGGATATGAAAAATATGACAAATTCTTAGACGCGTCGCGTTGGTGTGTTTGTATTTAAATAAGTAAATAATAAATAAATAAGTAAATATAAGAAATGAAAAATATGACAAATTCTTAGACGCGTCATGTTGGTGTGTTTTTATTTAGATAAATAAATAAATGAATTAACAAAAACCAATCAAGACCTAATTAAATAGCTTCACATATGCGTTGCTTAAAAACAAATGAAAATGTAGAAACTTATGTTATTCCAGTCTCTTAAGGAAAATTGCTTTAATTCCTTCGTGTTTCGTACTTTTTTTCGTACTTCAGATCAGACATGGGTCTGGTTACTTGAAAAAGTTATCAATTAAATTAATGATTATTTTGCCTTTTTCAGTCCATGATTACTGTAAAATTTATAAGCTCTTTAAATTACTTCTAGTAAGTAACAGAAAACTATAAAGAGGCATTATTTGTACAGATGTTTAATTTTGTATGTCTAAGGTATACCTATTATTTGACATAAATACACAATATTATCATCAAGTAAGCATAATATAAATCTTAATACATTGTACAGCTATTATTTGCTTATAGTCGATAAAAAATGGCAAAAGTAATAAGAAAATGCATAACTTATGATCACTTCTGATAAATGAAAAATGGAAAACGGGCTGATATATAATGAGCATTGCCTCAGTGAAAAAAGTATTTATTAGTATTATTTCATTTCTAATATTATATGTTTCGAAATTTCATGTGAAGAAGCGACCCTGGGGATAGTATCTCGAAGCTATCGTTATATTTGCGTTTACAAACGTGCTAACGATTGACGGAGGGTTGGTTAACGAGAGACTAGCGCGGGTATCTCGAAAGCAATAGTTAAGCAATCGTTCGTTGCTTACTCGTTAGTTATTAACGATTGAATTATTTAATCATTTGAATACATGTACCGCGAAAATTGTGTACAGCTCTTGTTTATATTCACCGAATCATTATTTTGCGTAGACAACGGTGAATTGGAGCATAAGGTTTAAATGTGTGAAAAAGAAGCGAGATAATTGTATCCGTATTTTACAAACATAAAATTTTGTTTACAAATTTGCGTGTAAATAAGTTTTATTCCAAACTATTACATAAAGAAGATACACTTATAACCAAAGAGAAAAACGTACAGCAGATTTATTCAGGACAGGAGAAATACAAATCGACCTTAATATCTACAACACAATGTTCATACCTCAGACTCTGCTGATGTCAGTTCAGTATTCCACATTCTTTCCACCTCTAAGTGGTCTATTGCATGATCGTAATTGTGTCTTCCGTACGGTCCTCTGCGTTTTCTCTTTCTATTTTCCGACATTTTGAAAGGAACTGAACATTGGTCACGTGACTGAACATGCAGGCTCTGTATTGGTAACTTTTAAATTCTGACCAATCGCATGTTAGATGAAACCCTTTGTTTGCCTTTTCTGATAAGCCCAAGCCACGCTATCCCAGAACTCTGATTTTTTACAGTGGAAGGTCTTTGTTACGTTAAAGTGAACACAAAATATTTAAATTTAATCAAAATGTATGTGTGCGTTTATTGCCCGGACGACCAAACCCTTTCTGTTCTCGGTCGGAACAGTAAGAGACTAGAACTCAAGGGTGAGCTGAAGCAAAATGACATGGGAAAAGAGCGAATACGGAGGGTTTCATTGTTATTAAATATGGCGGTATGTTCTCAGCTTCTGTGTTCTCAATTTTAAAATATTGTATACAAGTTTCAAATACAAAATATCTTTTATCAAAGCTTTGTTTTAAATACTGCTCATTTTCTTTTGAATATTAATACGATATGCTAAACCACACACAATCACACGACACATGCAGGATCCGGTCTGTCGTCTAGCAATATAGACTTGTCTTGCGATGAAAATCCCGATTGCCTTGATAATGTCAATTGTGATAGTGGTAAACCTATGAAAACGGTCCCTTTAAAAAAGAGAACAGTCATTGGAACTGCCCCTGTTGAAAGTTCCAATGAAACAGGCGTGATTCAATTGAGAGGGGGGGGGGGGGTGTGTCGGGAACTTAAAATAGAAACTGCAAGTCTAGAAACATAGGAAAAACGTCTGTATATAGATTAGCAGAGACTGCAGATTAATTAGTCAGAGACTGCAAGTGTAGTCAGACATTTTAAACACTTTACATAGTTAAAGCCAATATTTTGGCGGAGCTTCTTCTCAATACCAGTCAAAAAATCTGGGGACAGATAACCATCCCTCATTCTTCAGGCTATATCAACATGTTGTTTTAGAGTGTAAGTATACTGTCAATATTCAAATTTGAAAATGTTGCTTTCATTGTTGCTTTCCGTTTCAGTGAAATATGGACTATATTTTCACGAAACATAATAAAATTTACCCTTTAGACAATCATAATTATGTACAGCAACTCTTTCTAAAATTCCACTTGCTACACAGCTGCAAAGACGTCATGCGCCTAACAATGACGCCATGAGCAAAACAATGACTTCATAAGCATAAATATATATTAAATATGTAAAGTCGATTTTCATTGGATAATCATGACGTTTATATTATTAGTTATAAAGATTTTTGACAGGTAATATTGCCCTATATAAACGACTGTTTGGAAATATAACCCGAGCCGCTAGGCGATGGTTATATTTCCTACAACCGTTTGTATATGATCATTTAACATGTCAGGAATATTTATAACGAATTTATAAAACCGCAAAGTTCACTTTTTTGAGAAAAAAAGTGAGATTTCTTAGAAAATTGCCAGAAACAGTGTATATAAAACTGTCACGTTTATCCAATGAAAAGTGACATGACAAACCTGGGGATAGTATCTCGAAGCTATCGTTATATTTGCGTTTACAAACGTGCTAACGATTGACGGAGGGTTGGTTAACGAGAGACTAGCGCGGGTATCTCGAAAGCAATAGTTAAGCAATCGTTCGTTGCTTACTCGTTAGTTATTAACGATTGAATTATTTAATCATTTGAATACATGTACCGCGAAAATTGTGTACAGCTCTTGTTTATATTCACCGAATCATTATTTTGCGTAGACAACGGTGAATTGGAGCATAAGGTTTAAATGTGTGAAAAAGAAGCGAGATAATTGTATCCGTATTTTACAAACATAAAATTTTGTTTACAAATTTGCGTGTAAATAAGTTTTATTCCAAACTATTACATAAAGAAGATACACTTATAACCAAAGAGAAAAACGTACAGCAGATTTATTCAGGACAGGAGAAATACAAATCGACCTTAATATCTACAACACAATGTTCATACCTCAGACTCTGCTGATGTCAGTTCAGTATTCCACATTCTTTCCACCTCTAAGTGGTCTATTGCATGATCGTAATTGTGTCTTCCGTACGGTCCTCTGCGTTTTCTCTTTCTATTTTCCGACATTTTGAAAAGGAACTGAACATTGGTCACGTGACTGAACATGCAGGCTCTGTATTGGTAACTTTTAAATTCTGACCAATCGCATGTTAGATGAAACCCTTTGTTTGCCTTTTCTGATAAGCCCAAGCCACGCTATCCCAGAACTCTGATTTTTTACAGTGGAAGGTCTTTGTTACGTTTAAAGTGAACACAAATATTTAAATTTAATCAAAATGTATGTGTGCGTTTATTGCCCGGACGACCAAACCCTTTCTGTTCTCGGTCGGAACAGTAAGAGACTAGAACTCAAGGGTGAGCTGAAGCAAAATGACATGGGAAAAGAGCGAATACGGAGGGTTCATTGTTATTAAATATGGCGGTATGTTCTCAGCTTCTGTGTTCTCAATTTTAAAATATTGTATACAAGTTTCAAATACAAAATATCTTTTATCAAAGCTTTGTTTTAAATACTGCTCATTTTCTTTTGAATATTAATACGATATGCTAAACCACACACAATCACACGACACATGCAGGATCCGGTCTGTCGTCTAGCAATATAGACTTGTCTTGCGATGAAAATCCCGATTGCCTTGATAATGTCAATTGTGATAGTGGTAAACCTATGAAAACGGTCCCTTTAAAAAAGAGAACAGTCATTGGAACTGCCCCTGTTGAAAGTTCCAATGAAACAGGCGTGATTCAATTGAGAGGGGGGGGGGGGGGGTGTGTCGGGAACTTAAAATAGAAACTGCAAGTCTAGAAACATAGGAAAAACGTCTGTATATAGATTAGCAGAGACTGCAGATTAATTAGTCAGAGACTGCAAGTGTAGTCAGACATTTTAAACACTTTACATAGTTAAAGCCAATATTTTGGCGGAGCTTCTTCTCAATACCAGTCAAAAAATCTGGGGACAGATAACCATCCCTCATTCTTCAGGCTATATCAACATGTTGTTTTAGGGTGTAAGTATACTGTCAATATTCAAATTTGAAAATGTTGCTTTCATTGTTGCTTTCCGTTTCAGTGAAATATGGACTATATTTTCACGAAACATAATTAAACTTTACCTTTTAGACAATCATAATTATGTACAGCAACTCTTTCTAAAATCCCACTTGCTACACAGCTGCAAAGACGTCATGCGCCTAACAATGACACCATGAGCAAAACAATGACTTCATAAGCATAAATATATATTAAATATGTAAAAGTCGATTTACATTGGATAATCATGACGTTTATATTATTAGTTATAAAGATTTTTGACAGGTAATATTGCCCTATATAAACGACTGTTTGGAAATATAACCCGAGCCGCTAGGCGATGGTTATATTGCCTACAACCGTTTGTATATGATCATTTAACATGTCAGGAATATTTATAACGAATTTATAAAACCACAAACTTCCCTTTTTTGAGAAGAAAAGTGAGATTTCTTAGAAAATTGCCAGAAACAGTGTATATAAAACTGTCACGTTTATCCAATGAAAAGTGACATGACAAACCT